GTTCATAGCGACGTTGCTTTTTGATCCTTCGATGTCGGCTCTTCCTATCATTGTGAAGCAGAATTCACCAAGTGTTGGATTGTTCACCCACCAACAGGGAACGTGAGCTGGGATTAGACCGTTGTGAGACAGGTTAGTTTTACACTACTGATGCACCGCCGTCGCAATGGTAATCCAACCTAGTATGAGAGGAACCGTTGGTTCGCACAATTGGCAATTGTGCTTGGCTGAAAAGCCAGCGGTGCAAATCTATCGTGCGTGGGATTATGACTGAACACCTCTAAGTCAGAATCTGTGCTTGCCGCGACGGCGTATGCCTCCTCGGATGAYACAAGGCTGTCGATAGGGCCAGCCGGTCCCGAAAGCATAAGTTCGGAGTTGTCCCTCCTGCGGCGGAGCACCGACGCCCTGGGGGTCTCTTCATCGCAATTTCTTTCGCTCAGGGAGTCGAACCCTTTGCAGACGACTAAGAGACGGAACGGGGTGTTGTAAGCAATATAGTGGCCTTGTCGTCACGATCTGTTGAGACTCGGCCCTTTGTTCCGAAGGTTCCTCCCGCCTTCTGGCTCCCCACCCCTTCTCAAATGTTTGAACGACAGTCATCCGCGTCTGAAGAGAGCCGTCGCCCTTGTATAGGGGCCGATGAGCTGGTTGCTTCTTTTTTTTTTCTTTGTTTTTTCCTTCTTCTTTTTTTTTTTTCAGTTTTGCTGCTTCCGTCTGAAGCCCCTTTTCCCCGATGCGGTACTCGACTTTCGGCTCAAAGGAGAACTGTGCCCGAGCCCATGTTGGGGTGGGTGCCACGTTGTAAGCTTCTGGCCAATGCGGCGCGCCATCTGTCCGAAAGCATGGATATGTRTCCGCGTGTCTTCCTGTACTTGACCCGGTGGGCGTTTGTGCATGCCACATTGTCCGATGTCGCTCCATACGGCCTGCCACTTTTGGCTGCACGGAGACCTGGGACCAAAGGCTGGATCGACGTTAGTGCCACATTGTAGACTTAGTCACGATGTGGCGGGCGACCTTTGTTTCAGTAAAAAAAAAAAAAAGCTATTCTTCAAGTATTCAAACAAAATGCAAACGTGTACTATGTGCATACGTCTATAATATTATGTATATGACTTGTTTTTTTTTTGCTTTTTTTTTTCCCCTATTGGATTCACCTTTCTTTCATGATGAAAACAAAATTCTGAATCTTCTCATTCTGTACATAAAAGTTTGCTCAAGCAAGTATTCAATCAATTTAACGGAAGATTTTTAGTAGAGGGGCAGAGACGGAGGGCGTCTGGCCCTCCCTTCGTACAAGCGTAATCGTGGGGGGGGGTGCGCGAAGTATGCCCCTGGTGTTTCGGACCTGGAAAGCCAATTCTCACCCTATCTGGCCCTCCCCATATGTGTGCGTAATATTATGGCTTGGGAACAAAATACCCACTTCTTGCCCTACGTGGCCCTCCCCACGCGACTGCGTAGTCATGATCTTGGTGGGGTCGTGCGCCCCCCAACTTTGGGAACAGAGAGGCCACTTTCAGACGCGGATGACCGTCGTTCAAACATTTGAGGAGGGTTGGGGAGCCAAAAGGTGGGGGAAACCTTTGGAACAAAGGGCCAAATCTCAACAGATCGTGACGACAATGCCACTCTACTGCTTACAACACCCCGTTCCCTGTCTAAGTCGTCTGCAAAGGGTTTGACTCCCCGAGCGAAAGAAATTGCGATGAAGAGACCCCCAGGGCGTCGGTGCTCCGCCGCAGGAGGGACAACTCCGAACTTATGCTTTCGGGGACAGACCCGCTGGCCCTATCGACAGCCTTGTGTCATCCGAGGAGGCATACGCCGTCGCTGCAAGCACAGATTCTGACTTAGAGGCGTTCAGTCATAATCCCACGCACGGTAGCTTTGCACCGCTCACTTTTCAGCCAAGCACAATTGTCAATTGTGCGAACCAACGGTTCCTCTCGTACTGGGTTGGATTACCATTGCGACGGCGGTGCATCAGTAGGGTAAAACTAACCTGTCTCACGACAACTGACATTTCGTTAAAACTGACATTTTTTTCTAAATTCATGAAATTGAGAGTACAAAAAAACAACATTTTTTAGTGTTTTTTTGTCCCTATGACGTCGGATGATCAGATCGTCGGGTGTCGTGGCGACTCCCGATCATCTGACCATCGGATGTATGTTGACGGTACTTTACGTTGAGGTACACAAGATGGACAAAGTGAGATAACCACTTCCTCACCTGATGAGCAGTGAAATTTTGACCAAGTCGACTTTCGTGAATTTAGAAAAAAATGTCAGTTTTAACGAAATGTCAGTTCGACGGTCTAAACCCAGCTCACGTTCCCTGTTGGTGGGTGAACAATCCAACACTTGGTGAATTCTACTTCACAATGATAGGAAGAGCCGACATYGAAGGATCAAAAAGCAACGTCGCTATGAACGCTTGGCTGCCACAAGCCARTTATCCCTGTGGTAACTTTTCTGACACCT